ATATATATATATATATCTGTGTGTGTTTGTTAAGAAAGAAGATTTTAGTAAGTAAAAATCTTTATAAATGTTTATCCAAAAATTAGGAATATAGCAAAACTATATAAATATGGTGTATCATAAAAAACGAAAAACCAATAGACCACCTAAAGGTAAAGTTAATGAGAATGAACTGCGAGCAGCTGTTAATGCAGTTCTTAATGGTAGTACAGTTTATTGTGTATCTAAAGAGAGGGGAATAAATTTAATGACACTGAAGAGATATGTAAGGAAATGTCAATTAAATCCATATACAGTCTGCAAACCTAACTTCATTACCATGCAAATCTTTACCTACGAAGAAGAAACATCTTTGTCAGATTATCTTTTAAGAGCCTCAAAACTTCACTATGGATTATCAACCAAAACAACACGAAAACTTGCCTATGAATTTGCTTTTAATTGTTATACAGTCGGAGAATTTTTCACCAATCTAAAAGATGTTCGTCTACGACACAAGTTTCAGCCACAAAACATATATAATGTTGATGAGACAGGTCTCACAACTGTTCAAAAACCAGTTAAAGTAATTGCTAAAAAAGGAGATAAACAAGTTGGAAGGATAACTTCAGCAGAAAGAGGGACATTGGTAACAGTTTGTTGTGCAATCAATGCAATAGGAAACTCAATCCCTCCATTTTTTATTTTTCCAAGAGTTCATTTCAACGGAAGTATGATAAATGGTGGTCCACCTGGATGTGTTGGGGTTGCAAACCCATCTGGTTGGATGAATGTTCCAACGTTTTTAGAGTGGATGAAACATTTTATTCAAATTGTGAAATGTTCACCAGCTAATCCAGTGCTTTTACTTCTTGACAACCACGAGATCCATGTTTCAATTGTGTGTTTAGATTTAGCTTAAAAAAATGGCATAACTATGCTGTCTTTTCCACCACATTGTATTCACAAGTTGCAGCCATTAGATTGGTCAGTTTATGGGCCACTGAAACGTTATTACAATGCAGCCTGTGATGATTGGATTGTATCTAATCCAAGACCGATGACCATATATGATATAGCTTCAGTTGTAAGGAAAGCCTATGCACAAGCTTTTACTTTGTCTAACATTTCTGCAGGATTTACTGTGGCAGGAATTGAACCCTTTAATCCTAACATATTTTCTGATAATAAGTTTTTGTCTTTATATGTAACAGACCGTCCAGAACCTATTACTGCTAACCCTTTTCCAGGTGTTGTTGATCCAGTTCATGCCCCAGCTTTTAATCAATCATTGATGTCAAGTCTGTCATCTGGTTCAGCTTGTAGTGTATTGCCTATTCAGCCTATATTCTACCCTGGAAGTCAACTATCCAGTGTTTCTAATAATATCTCTCATCAAGCAAGTCTAGAAAAAATTAGGCCATTTCCGAAAGCTGGATCAAGGAAATCCATTAAAGGATGTAAACGTCAGCGTACTCAAATACTCACAGACACTCCTGTTCGAATTGAGTTAAACAAGCTTCAAGAAATAAAAAAAAAATCTCAGTCAAAAAAGAAAAAACATGAAATGCAAAATAAGATCTTCATGACAAGAAAAAGAAAACTTGATCTTGAAAGTAATGAAAATAAAAACGTTGAGTCTCAGTAAAAAATAACATTTTTTTCATTAATTTTTACTTTTTTAAGAAAGATAAACTTGTAGTAAAATTAATAATAACTTTATTGGTTTTTATTATAGACATTGTTTTGATGACTTAAAAATTATTCTTATACAATCATGGTATACATTTGATCTCGAATCAAGTATACATACATAGGATCAAGGGTGCATATAAATAGGATCAAGGGAGCATACTGGTATGCACCCATGATCCTAATTGAGCATTCTTAGTTTTTATAATTTTAAATCTACTTAAAATATTCTGGTAAAAAAATGATAATTGAATTATCATAAGGTATAAAATTTGCTATTATGTACTGTTATTTTAGAGATTGAAATAAAAACATATATTCAGTAAGTTGGCCTGATAGATTTTTAGGATCATGGGTGCATACTCTCCCCTACAAAGATTCGACATTTCTAAAAAATACTTTAATCTCAATTGCCGATTCAACTGAGTACACAACAGCCAAATTCAGACTGTGAGCGCTACAGGGAACGTACAGAGCTTCCGAACAATTTTGCCTTGTGAAGGCCTACATGTTAGACCCATTATTGTATATTTTACCGTTACAGTTTCAAATATCCAAATCTAGCCTTACAATAACATGAACATGCAAAAAAAAAAAAAAAAAAAAAAAGAGAGAAATGAAAGATGCATTGCAAACTTGGCTATATCAACTTTCTTCTTCTTAAAAGTTTTAACACAGAACGTGACGGTGAAGTAGATATCATCGTGGATTTTTTCGGCAGCTGCATGTCGGATGAAACCAACACTTTTTCTGATGAACTTATTTTTAGACAACGGAGAGAGGTAATGGGCATAAAACGTTCAGATTTAATCGATTATTCGTTTAGAATAAAATCCAGATTAACGTTTATTACAAACGTCCATTAAACGTCTATATTCAAACGTATTTTAGATAGGATAGGATTTTTATACGTATATAAAGCATTTAGATTCAGTCTAAGTAAACGTATATTAAATTTATTAGATCTTGTCTAATTGTTTCTTTGATTTAGTTAACGTAATTTCAATTTATATAAATTTTATATAAACTTTATTATTAAAACTTTATATAAACTTTAAAAGTCTTATATACACTAAAATTAAGTTATAACTTTTTAACTTTATACAAGTAATATATATATATATATATATATAATTATATATATATATATATATATATATATATATATATATATATATATATATATATATATATATTTATTTTTTTATATAAGTAACATTTTTTTTATAACTTTATATAAGTAATATAGAGCTATATAGGTCTTTAAATTTATAAATAAGATATAGTTATAAAAGTAATGAAATTTATAAATAAGATACATTTGTAAAAGACCTCCTCTTATTTTTTATATTTTTTATAACTATTTTAATATGTTTATAAACTTATTCTACTATATTACTTAAATTACACTTTTATATTATAAAACTATATATAAAGTTATAAACTTATAAACGTTTTCATATAGTGAGGATTTAGAGAAAAAATGTTCGTGCACTATACTTCATATGTTTATGTTTTAATAATTAAAAAAAATTAAATGATCAAGCTTTTTGCAGGAGAAGTTTAATAGTAACAAATTATATCAAATATTTTTTAAATTTATCTCGTTAGCAGGAAATAAAAGTTTACATTAAGATTAAGTTAAAGATTACTAATAAAATTAATAAACTCATGAACATATATTTTGAATCACTGTTTTCTCTGGTTTATGTATTATCAAAAATCTTCCTAGTTTACCGTCTACCGCTTGTTTATCATGCACCTATTCTTGTGCAATATCATCTTCTACATTCGTATCCTGATCGTCTGATTTCGTAACCTGATTTGTAACCGCAAAAAACTGGGGTAAAATAGTTAGCACTTTAAATATACATTCATAAATCAAAATTGGAATTACACAGAACAACTTTACATATAGATGATTTTCTGAATGGAAGTTTTACTTCAAAAAATAGCATTTTTATTGTGAAAACGTCAACAAATGACTTGTCAGGGGCGGATCTAGCATTTTAAATGGGTGATGCGAAATTTTTTTATCGACGTCCCCCCCCCCCCCCGCAACCTCTCTAGGGTTTAAGTATAGTCAATATAAAAAGTGGAGAAACACTTTTTTTTACTAGTGGCGCCGCTGTTTATATCATTGAATAATAACTAAATTTTGTATTGCTTTTGCAGTATCCATTTTTAGCAGAAATTTTTACAAATGTTGCCTTGGCTATTTTGTTCATAAATTAGACATGTAACTTTAAGCCTAATTTACTTAACAAAGTGCACCAACGAGAAGGTAAGCCATAGGACTTTGCACTTCATCTGTATACTGTCATTTTGCCCAAGGTTAGCCCTCCATTTCTGGAGTGTAAAGTAATATTGCCTAAGGTTGGCCCTCCACTTCTGGAGAAAAAAGTAAAAGTTAGTACACTACTAAAAAAAAGCTAAGTCTAAACGTCTTTCACCTGACTTTGAAAAAATGTCAATGACTCTTTCAACATCTGGAAAAATTTCTTGATGTATGGACATTAATGCTAAAGAGTTAAAGCGAGACTCAATCATATTACTTCTAGAGAATGGTTTTAGCCTACGTATAACTGAAATACTTCTTTCACATTCACAAGTTGTTATTGGAATTGTTCCTAAAATTATAAATGCTGTCCTTATATTTAGAAAACCTCTCATGTCAATGGACTTTAAAGTACCAGCAACAGTTGAAGGAATACTTGACTGGTTTTCCCAAAATAATTCCCATAAATCTAACTCAGCATGTATTGAAGTAAAATGAGGCATATCAGATGAATAGAAATTTAAAAATTCATAAAAATCAGATTTCCATGGTTTTTTAACTTGTATTCTGGACAGTACAGTTAAAGGAACTGCTGCTAGACATTTATAAACAAACATGCCATTTTCTGGAAACCTATTATCTAGCTCATTAATAAGATGTTCAATTAATGGAGATGTAATGCTGTGTTTAAAATAGTCACAAACTGTATTTGTTGGATAATTATCCCGGTAAACCTGGACATTACACAATCTAGGTCTCACTTCTTGTATATCAAGAGTTTTGGCCAAACTAAGAGCGATAGCGTACCATTTAGTGTGATATATATCAATTTTATTTTTAATTTCTAATAACAGATTTTTTAGATTAGTTATTTCAAAACACTGCTGGGATATGTCAAAAGATTTAGTTTGAAGAGTTACAGTAATTGCATTAAAAAAATCCATTAATTGTTTTGTCATAACTAAACTTACAATAAAAGAGAAATCTGTTAATAATCTTAAAAAAAAAGAGGATTTGGAAGCAGTTTCACTGCTATATTCCTTTGACTCATTTAACCCCATCTCCTCTAAAGCATGAATAATAGGTATAAAATTATCAAAAAAAAAACATCAAGAGCTCTCAGCTTTTGAACCCATCTTGTTCGACAAGTATCTATTATTTTTTCTTGATTTGGACTTAAATATTTTTTGAGACATATACTACGTTTAGGAGATAAGTTAAAAAAAAAATATTTCTTTTACTTGGCCAAGAAGATTTTTTACTTTTTGAACTTGGCATGCAGCTGCTACTACTAAACTAAGTCTATGGCTTGCACAATGAACAAATATAGCTTTATGATTAAGAGCTTTTATTCGAGAAGCAACTCCTTCATATTTACCTGCCATACAACCCGCACCGCCATACCCTTGGCCTCTACAATTTTTAATATCAAGTCCAAACTCTTGAAGTGCATTAAGTACATTTAGAGACTAAGACCAGATGTACCAGTTTTGCAACCAATAAATCTTAAGAAATCCTCGCAAATCTCATTATTTGAATTTACATATCTTAAAACAAGTGACATTTGTTTAGTATTTGAACAGTCAACTGCTTTATCACAAAGAATTGAAAAAAAAATTGAATGCTTGACATTTTTTATTAAAACTTTTTCAATTGCTTTCCCACAAGAATCAATAAGTTGGTTTTGGGTAGTTTTTGATATATAGGTTGCATTTTTTGGACTTGAAGAAAGATGATTAGCTAATACTTGATCACCAGCATCAACACAAAAATTTAAAAGCTCTATGAAGTTACTAATTCCAACTTTTTGTGAAGAAGATTCCCCAATATCAGGATGATATTTGCTAGCATCACGAAATGCTAGATCGTTTCTACCAAGAAATATTATTATTTTAATTATTAGAACTAATTTTTTTCTGTTATCAGAAAGAAGTTTCAAACGAAAATTATTTAAATCAACCTCAATAACATTATTTGTGGAGTTGCAACGTGAAAGCGTGAAAATAAAAGCATAGGTTTTATTTTCATAAAACGTGAAAATAAAAGCATAGGTTTTTCATGTAAAACACAACTTTCCTCATGTTTTCTATAATCACAAACAGCATTACCCCACTCTTGATGGGGCTTGAAAACTAAATTTAATATTCCAGACTTATTTGGAATACTAGCACCTAGCAAAGTACAAGGAAGACAGTAAGCTCCATCTTCTTTGCTAGAATAAGCTAACCAAGAAAACTGGCTGAGCCATTCAAATTTAAATGATCTTTTTGTATTAAAAGATATTGGAAAAACAAACATAGAATTAGGAAAAAATACTTTGTTTACCATATCTAACAAAATAGAATCATCTTTGCCAGCAGTTAAAAGTTTACCTCGAACAAGATATGTTGAAACATCATACAAAGAATTTAATTCATTATATGAAGGAATAATAACTTTTGGAGTTGGAGTCTAATGACTTAACTATTTTTGAATCTACAGAAGGTTCAAAAGGCAACTCTATGAAAGCATTTTTTTTTTTTAAAGTTAATTTTAGATTAAATTTTTTTTTTTTTTTTTTTTTTTTTTTATTTGCATTCACTCCCAACAAGGCTGCAAGCAACCACTATTAAGTTGGGAGTTACTAGGAAAAAAAAAGAACAGAGTTATAGAGCAAGGAAACGGTTGACAGAAGACTTGAAAAGTTAAAGGTTATATGAGTCAGGAAAACATGAAGATGGGAGAGAGTTCCAAAGGATTGAAGTGCGGGGAAAAAAACTAGATGAATAAAAGTTTTTAGAGCATGCAGGGACAGATACAGTAAACGAATGAGACTTAGCTGAATGACGAGTAAAACGAGAATGAATTTTAGTTGATGGAACTAGAGATGATAACTCCTTTGAGCAGTGACTATGATAGTATCTGTAGAAAAGAGAAAGAGATGCAACTTTACGACGATGGGAAAGAGGTTCAAGCTTAGCAGATAGTCCAGGTCCAACAACATTTACAATGCGTTTTTGGACCTTGTCAAGAAGAGAAAGTGAATCGTTAGAAGAACCAGCCCAAATATGACAACAGTATTCCATACAGGGACGAATAAGAGATTTGTAGAGGTGGAGAACGGAATCAGAAGTAAGGAAATGGCAAGCACGATAAAGAGAAGCAACCTTAGCAGAAGCTAATTTAGCAATCGATTGTATATATGGTTTCCATGAAAGGTCAGTAGTAAGCAATAATCCAAGAAGACGTAAAGAGGACGACTCAGTAAGAGGATTGCCATTCATTAATATAGGAATGTTGACCATATTACGGTAGTTGTTTGCAGTAAGCAATTGGGTTTTTTAAGAGTTAATATTCACAAGCCACTGTGAACCGCAATCTATTACTGAAGTGAGATCAGATTCAAGATCAGCTGCTTGTTCTAGGCAATCAAAAAGAGAAGACTTTTTGTCAAGACAGGAGTATAAAGTTGAGTCATCAGCAAAAAGAGCTACTTTAGATGAAAGGTTGTCAGGAAGATCGTTTATGTAGATAAGAAACAAAACAGGGCCCAGGATGGAACCTTGGGGAACCCCAGAAGTTAATGGAAATAAAGAAGAGTGTTGGCCTTCAAGGATGACTTTAATAAACCGGTCAGAAAGAAATGATTTGATAATCTCAAAAACTTTCCCAGAAACACCATATGAAGCATGCTTATGGAGAAGACCAGCATGCCAAACTTTGTCGAAAGCTTTAGATATGTCGAGAGCAATAGCCCTAGCCTCACCGCCTCCATCTAATGCACGATAAAATCTTTCAGTTACAGCAGTTAGCAAGTCGGCCGTAGAGCAAGAGGATCGAAAACCGCATTGATTGTCTGACAGCAGTTTATTTGACTCAAGATGAGATGCGAGGAATTTGTTGATCAAAGACTCAAAGACCTTGCTAATAACAGAAAGAAGACTGATCGGACGATAATTTGAGGGGTCAGAATTTTCTCCAGAGTTTTTGAATATTGGAACCACAGATGCCATTTTCCAACAAGCAGGAAAACAAGACTCAGTCAAACACTTGTTAAATAGTTTAGAGAGAATTGAAGAAAGTTCTGGAGAACAATTCTGCAAGACTGTGACAGGAATGTTGTCTGGACCACAAGCTGTAGACGAGTTTAATTGAGATATGACTTTAGCAACAGAAGCCGGAGTGATTTGAATGTCTAACAATGGGTCAACCTGTTTGACTGGAATGGAAGGAAGAGAATGTCCATAAGATTCAAGAGTGGAATTAGAAGAAAATTTCTTTTCAAACAGTTCTGCCTTATCCCTGGGAGAGATAACAAGATCAGTCCCATGAATGAGAGATGGAATGTTAGATCTACCCTTGTTAACAATGCTGTTGAAGATTTTGCAAAAGTCTTTAGAGCCTAAATTCTGCGATAAGATGCGAGATTTAGTGAACTGAGAATAATGGAGTTTAGCATCAGAAAGCACCTTTTTACATCAATTTCTTGCAATAATAAATAGCCGTTTGTTCTCAAGAGAGTTGTTCTTTTGAAAAAGATGAAAAAAATGGTTACGATTGGATATAGCAGCCGCACAAGAAGGAGAAAACCATGGAGTAGAATGAGGCTTGATTTGAAACCGACAAGAAGGAATAAAAGCTTCCATTCCAGCCTGAATCAAGGAGGTTATGTAGGAGGCGCATTTGTCAGCTGAGAGAGAAAAAACATCAGCCCAAGGACCATCACGAAGAAAATCACGAAAGGAATCCCAGTCAGCTTTAGGGTAGTAGTAGGTGGTGCGATGATAAGGTGAGTCCAAAAAAGAAGTACGAGAAGAAAGATTTATAGAGATCATTGCATGGTCAGAACCACCTAAGGGAGAAAAGGGAGAAACTGAACATAAGCTAGGGTCAGAGACAAGATATAAGTCAAGGAGTGAAGGTAAATGATTAGGGTTGTCAGGAAAACGAGTCACAAAGTTAACTATCTGAGTAAGAGATTGAGAAACGCAGAAGTTAAAGGCTTAAGTGCCAGCAGGATCAGTGGTGTTAGAGCCAAGCCATTCAGCGTGATGGGCATTAAAATCACCAACAACAACAATATTGGCAGAGGGGTAAAGAGAGAGGGCATGGTCAATTTGATCAGAGATAACATCTAAAAGAGTGCAATCATGGGAAGAAGGAGAACGATAAAGAACAAAGAGAAAGGTGATAGAGTGAAGAGGTGCTAGGCGAAAGCACATAAAAGAATGGTCAAAGGATTCGAACCTGATTTCACGACAAATAGGGGAATTAATGCGTATGTATACCCCTAAACCTAGCATGTGACTATTGGAGTCTTTACGAATCAAAGGATAGTACCCATCAACACTGACATCTGAAGAAGGAATTGCATAACTTAAATTTGTTTCACTGAGTGCAAGCAAGTCTGGTGAATTTTGCAGGAGGTAAGACTCAACTGATGGAAAGTTGCTTCGTAGACCGCGAATATTTGTAAAAGATATATTAAAATATTTAGGTGGTGGGGATGGTTTTTTAGGTTTTAAATTTTTGGTTACTTTGGTCATGATTTGGGTTTAATGAGAACTTGACTCATTCATAGATAGAGCACAGCCTCCTAATCAATGAGCTATGCAGTTGTCTCAGTCCTGTTAATTAACCCTAAGCCGTGACATAGGGTTCCTTATGTGGCCTTGACAATGCACACCAAAAGCATTAACAGAGACACCATCCATGCGCAACATGGCACTGTTAATACTCTGATATTTTGCAGCTGTTGATGGAATCAGCTACCACAGAGTTCGGGAAACCTTACTACCAGCCGGCCACAGAACCATTAAACTGAGTTTTAGAGCTGTACCCTCATATGGAGATAACAGGAAGAGTTGCATAGCCATTATCAAGGAGGCATAAGCAAAATTCTATGAGTAGAGTCAAGGAGATCCAGCATTCATCATCCTAGGCAGGAAACAATGTAACACAGGTTACATCTACGCCAGCCTAATAGATGAAGAAGGGGTTCGAGGCTGGTTAGCAGAATTTTTCTGCTTACCCCTAAAGTCTTTGCCTAGGTGGTCATCTATAAGACAGTAGCAGGATGCAGTTAACATCTGCCCAAGATGAGTATTTTTATCGAGACACCATCTCTAGCCTTTACTCAACCAAGAGCCCCAAGGAAGGGGAATTTTTAGTCGGAGTTTATTTCTCCTAGCCTTTGCATAAGAAGAGCACACTCTGCAAGGCAGCAGGGCTTGTGGCAGGTGGTACTGGGTTACGTGATACCAGTAGCAAGATTGATCTCGATTATCCTGACCTGACCTGGAGTAGTTAAAAGGAGCTACTTCCCGCAACAGTACTTTGTGAAAACCAGGCATGACATTTTGGAAGTGCATTAGGAAAAACACTGCATCTAACAAAATACAGGAGTCTAAGGTGAGTATACGTTTTGTAGTTGGAGTAAGTAGTCAGTTACTGAGCTCACGCTGCATTAGAGTATAAACAGAACACAAACAAACATAAATCAACTTACGGGTGAGTCAACACCGCGCCAGAGGTTCAGACAGAACACAAACATACATAAAAAACATAAAGTAACTTACGGGTGAGCGAACACCGCGCCAGAGGTTCAGACAGAACACAAACATACATAAAAAAACATAAAAAACATAAACATAAACATAAAGTAACTTACGGGTGAGCGAACACCGCGCCAGAGGTTCAGACAGAACACAGACATACATAAAGAACATAAAGTAACTTACGGGTGAGCGAACACCGCGCCAGAGGTTCAGACAGAACACAAACATACATACAACGTAGATTACAGGTGAGCTAATACTTTAACTAAGGCACCTCCAACTATATGAGAAAATAAAAAAATAAAAAAAATTACTATAGGCATGACTGATATAAGATAGTACTGATGACAGGAAGAACACTCTTTCCAGCCTTTGCTTAGATAGCAAATCCTGCAAGGCAGCAGAACATGGAACAGGTTGCACTGGGTTACATGTTACCAGTAGCAGGATGATCATGAAGACCATACTCCTGACCTGACAAATTTTGACATGTTTTGCAGAATCAAGTTGTTGTTTTTTATTTGTTTCAGTTTTAGGACTAAAAAAGTGTAAAGGATAAGTAGTATCGTTTTTTATAGCCAAATTCTTATTATTACTAGAAATTAGTTTAGGTTTTTTAATAATTTGTACAAAATGGTTCGGTGTCCAGTTATCATTAATTTGCATCACTGACATAATATCAGTATTACACCATAAAATATTTAAAACATTTTGATCTTGATTTTTAATTGAACGAAATGGAAAAATAATTGTATTAAAAAGTTTTTTGAAATTTTCTAAGCCAAAATCAGTATAAATTGATCTAATAGGAATATATAAAACTGATGACAAAGCAATTAGACATAAAAATGAAAAAAACTTGTTAGCTCGGCAGTTGATCAATGCTTCCATTATTATAATTTCAGAAGTAGATTCACTGTTAATTAATTTAAATTGATCTGAACATTCAAAAGAAACACAGGCTACTAGAACACTGGAAAGATTAAAAAAATTATTGTTTTTAACCTATTTAACAAAAAGGGAGTACCTCGCATAGTAGCAAACTTTTTCAAACAATTCAATCGAAGTTAGAAGCCTCAATACATTAACTGTCTTCAGAGACGAATTGCTTAAAAGTGAAGCTGAACTGTAGAGGCATGCCTCTACAGTTGCCAGAGGCATGCCTCTACTTTTTATTTTATTTAAGGTCATCTGAAGATGGAAATTGCCGGCAATTTCTATCTTCAGATGACCTTAAATAAAATAAAAAGTATACTAAAACAAGCTCAGTTTATATTAAATACTAGCTGGAAATATAAAATACCATTAACTTTAATAATAGGGTTTTACCTTAAAGCAACATAATCTTTAGTATCTTCTTGCTTTGGGATAAAACGATCCATTTCAGTATTTTCAGAAGACTGACTATGTGGCTGAACTGGACTCTTATTATTTAAAACTTTCAATTCTTCAGTCAACTGGTTTTAATATTTGCGAATATTTGGCAAATGTCTAGCTTTAATTGCATTTGAGACTAAAAAATTCATTTTTTTTAAAAACTTTAGTTTACAAGCAAAGTCCAACGACGAAAATTACGAGCGAAGAACGTATATCAGGCGGCATATCAGAATTTTGTAAAATTTGAACGATTTGGAGCAACTGATGCAATTGTTCTAAACTTTCTACAAATTTGATTGGTTATAAATAACATTTCTTATCTTTTTTGTAAAGTTTTTTGCGGAAGTTTTGTAGCAACTGATGCAATTGTTATTTTATTAAATAGTGATTGGTTTAAACTGTTTTTTAACCAATTATTAATGATTTAGAGTACAATTGCATGAGTTGCTACAAAGTGATCGGAAAAATTTGTGAAAAAATACAAAAATGATTGGTTAAAACGTACTTTTTTTTTTTAAAACTAATCACATTTGTATTTAGTGAAGAACAATTGCATCAGTTGCTCCAAAACGCAGGAATTTTGTCTAAGTAACGAATAAGTAACTATAGAGATCAAATAAGTAACTATAGAGATCAAATAAAATTGACTTTAAAGGATTTTTTTTTCGAGTTTAAAACAAGTTTTTCATTTTTTGTGAATACCAGATTCCAATTTCTCCTTTTACTTTTTATTAAGAAAAAAAAGTGAAAAAGAGATACACTTAAATTTAGCGGTGAAAAAAGACTGATGCATGCGCATCATTCGCGACACCCTGGATCCGCCCCTGCTTGTATGCTTTAACTTCTTTAACAACCACGTTATTCACCCAGGAAACGCACTACTTAACGAAGTTATCAGTGCTATCAGTGTTGAATGCATCAAAACGAAATTTGATCAGCTGCTATTATAAATACCAAAACCCATCATCTTCCGTACACTAAAGCAGGAACTAGCATGACTAGCGGGGCTCGACTGCACCTGGGCTTACGGAATACATCCGGTTCCGTCTAGTTCAACTACAACAAATTCCTTTTTTTTCGTAAAAAATAGTTTGTAATTAATGATAACACTAGAATTTAAAATTAATTTTTTTTTTTCATATGCATTTATATTCAGAATAGTAAAGTTACAAACTCAAATACCAAAACTAAGCAAACTTCTTATGTCAGCCATTAAAATGTTTTCTTTTTATTCTAAGCTTGGGTCCGGGTCAATTAGCCCCTTAAACTTAATCTTGAAGGCCTTGGTATGATTTTAATCTATTTGATGTAAAACAAAGTTGTAAAATAATAAAATAAAAACTAATATATCTCGTGCCAGTCCAAATATTAAAAATCCTTATATTTTCCGTGAAATGAATTGTCTTTAATTCCCGCGAATTTACTTGATATTTTTATTTCAATAAAATTTTGTTTGTGAAATATTAGACGAAAAAAAGAGACCAATAAAGAATCAAAGCAATTACTTGTGTAAAATAAAACATATAGTTTTATAGTTAAGTTGTAGATATTTATCCGTTATTATATAGTATTATAGTTAAGTTGTAGATATTTATCCGTTAGTATTATCAATATTTATATGAAGAATATATATATATATATATATATATATATATATATATATATATATATATATATATATATATATATATATATATATATATATATATATATATATATATATAGATATAGATATAGATATAGATATATATATATATATATATATATATATATATATATATATATCTATATATATATATATATATATATATATATATATATATATATATATATATATATATATATATATATATATATATATATATATATATATATATATATATATATATATATATATATATATATATATATATATATATATATATATATATATATATATATATATAGTATATATAAACAGATATATTATATCTGTTTATTTTGTTCAAAACGTTAAACCTAGAATCAAATTAATGTAAATTCAATTTGTTCTTTCAAATTGAATCAATTTTTTGGATTGTTTGAAGTTGTTTCCCATAAAGTTTTTTTCGTGAATATTGTCAGGAAAAAGTAGTTTTAAAATTGTTATTTTTTATTTGTTGCAAAACATAAACATTGCTTTGAGTTTTATTATTGATAAGACTTAAAGCAATATTTTGATAATATCAAAATATTGACTTTATAAAATAAAAGTGATTTTCTTGTAATTATATCTTAACTTAAAGAAATATTTTTAAAAAGCAAAAAACTACTATTTAAGACATAATTGTATTTTTTTGCTTTTTTTTTTTTTTTCAAGTAAAGCAAACAAAATTTGTTTCAATTAAAAGAAAATATTTTAAAACCTTGTTTCGCTAAATTAATTTTTAATAATTTTCTATTCTTGAAAATACATTATTTCAAAATTTACAGCAGCATAAATGCAAATACAATGCTGCCTAAACACTTTAGACTGTGCACTGATTAGTGTGCTTTGATTCTATTTTGTGTAACCTAATAGCTAATTTACTTCTTTCCCCCATTATATTGTTTTTCTCTCTAGCAAATTTTTTTCTGAATACAATAATATCAAAGTTTCTTTTTAAAAAATGAGTATTTTAAGATGATTTTTAAGATTTGTTTGCTGTCAGCTACAAAGCTAGTTTCGTCGATGTAATTTGCTTGATTGCTTTTAAACAAACTGATTGATTTTAAAGAAACTTCTTTTAAATATTTTAAGACTTTTTTTTGTCCAAAGACTACTGTGATTACATTTGTGAAGTGTGCACATACACAAAGACTACTGTCTACATACACAAAGACTACTGATTTTTTTCAATCTATAATATAGTGCATCAATGGCCCTTTTTTTCCAAAAAAGATATATAGCTATTTCTAAAACTTTCTATTATTATTTTCATTAGCAACAAGTTAATTTTTTCTATAATATAAATAGGGTTTTTTTTTCCATTTCTTTTCTTTCCAGTTTTGTGTTAAAGTGTAATTAAAACTTTCTCTTTACCCTTAAACTCCTTGACTCTCCACCCTTTAACTCCAAACTTTGACAAACACACAAGTTGAATATATTAATACCAGAAATGTAGTAAGAATTGAACTTGAAATTTTTGAAACTTACTTACAATGCAATTGCTATACCACTACCCCATTTAGATGGGCTTTGTTGTACAATTTTAAATGCAAAAAAAACTTTTTTAAAAGAATATCAACTTGGGTCTTAAAAGAAGCAAAGTTGTATAAAAATTTCAAAAATAATAATTTTTACAAAATTTATTTTATATTTATATAAAAATATTTTACATCTTTTTGATCAAATCTTTTTAATAAAAAGATTATGAAATTGAATTTTTTTGCTTTTTTCATTTATGGTGATTTAAAAAAATAGTAAAACAGACTTAAGGTAGCCCCTCTAAATTTATTTTGGAAGTGAATATATTTTATAAAAGTTTAATAGAGTTCCTGAAATGTAACAATTTGAAAACTTCCTGAAATGTAACAATTTGAAAAAAAAAAAAAAAAAAAAAAGAGGGCATTTAATACATTCTTATTTATAGTATTGTTTTAATTTAGTTATAGGTTATTGTTTGAAAAATGTCATTTTTTGACGATGTTGAACGATATTTTAATACACGGTGCTTATACACAGCTATTGAAGTTCAAGTAAATGCTGATAATGCAGAATTAAAAAAAGCTTACCATAAACTCTCATTAAGATATCATCCAGATAGATCTTCAGTGCAAGACAAAGATATTAACAAGTGCAAATTTCAAACACTATCAAAAATACATTCTATTCTTTCTAATAAGGAATCTAGAGCAGTTTATGATGAAACAGGAGAACTTATTGATGATGACAGTCTACAAAATAAAGACTGTGATTGGGACTCTTACTGGAGACAACTTTTTAAAAAGATTACAAAAAAAGATATAGAAAAATTTGAAGAAGAATTCAAAGGGAGTGAAAAAGAAGCAGAAGAAATAAAGGCATATTACATTCGTTTTGAAGGGGATATGGATGAGATTTTAAATAATGTTATGTGCTCAACTGCTGAAGATGAAACAAGATTTCGAAAAATCATCACTAATTTAATAGAAAAAAAAGAAGTGCCTGAATTTGATAACTTCTCAAAAGAGGATCCACAGAAAATAAAGTTAAGAAAGATAAGGGTAAAAATATTTTGAAATTGCACTATTATATATAAAAAAAAAGTATTATTATTGATTGTTTAAAACATAAATTTCCTTTGATTAGTTGTAAGTAGAGTCCAACAAAATATTTTCATTTTTTTAAAATAATGATTTGATTTTTGAAATATTTAACAGCTTGTTGCAAATGTTTTATATTTTCTTAGGGTTTAATCTTTAAAAAATATTTGACAGTGGTATCCTTCTTCATTAGCCTTTTAACTAACTTAACAATAATATCATTATAATATAATGTCAAAAAAATTTCTAATATAATTTTAACTTTTTATATTTATGATGATTTTGAAAAAGATACACATTGCAAGCACAGTTCTATCTATTTTAACTTGAGCCTTTTTTCGCATTGATGTAAAGTTGCATCTCTTTCTCTTTTCTACAAATGCTATTATGGCCGCTGCCCAAAGGAGTTATCATCTCTAGTTCCATCGACTAAAATTCATTCTTGTTTGTCTTATCTTTCAGCTGAGTCTCATTTATTTACATTATCTGCCCCTTTTTCCCCCGCACCTCAACCTTTTTGAACTCACTTCTATCTTCATATTTTCCTGACTCATATAACCTACAACTTTCAAGTCTTCTGTCAACCGTTTCCTTGCTTTATATTTCATTCTTCTTTTTACTTAATAGCTGTTGCTTGCAGCCTTATTGAAGTGAATTATGATTAAAAAAATAAAAATAAAAAATAAGTGACAAATGTCAAAAAATCTCAATTCTATGATTGTAGTGTACTTGCTATTTTTATCATGGTGTAATGAATCATAAATCATAAATGTTTGTTAAACGAGTATTAGACCATATAAACTCTTAGACCATATAATATACAATTTTAGAGATATAAACTAATAATTGCGCTTTGCATTGAATATTTTAAAGCTATCATCTTTTAGCTTGTGATATCACATTTGGGGAATACCATCAACCACAATACAAATAATATGAAATTTTAGAATTGAAAACTTAACAATTAATACAATTTTATGTGTTTTATTATGTGTTTTATAATAATATACTAAATAATTTTTTATACAATTTGTATATATTTATTATGTTTTAGATTGTTGATTGACTTAGCTTTGTGGTATAAGTGTATTTTTAAATATTTAGCAAAAATAATTTTAACTAAAGATACTATATTTTGATTATATATATTTTATTTTGACTAAAGATATATATGATTACCTTAAGGATCTTCATCAAGTATATGAAGACTAAACGTAAAATCTTGTCTAAGTTCCAAAATGAAAACCTTTGGTTCAATGTTAAAATATATTTCACAAAATAGTTTTCCACAATATATGGTGGCAATCTTTTTTTGGAGCCATAATCATAAACCTTTATTACTTCTTGTACTTTATTACTTTTCACCTTTTTGTGCTGTATGATGCTAAGCTCCATTATTTTCAGTTTACTAAAGCTTGTATCTTATCTCAGATTAGGTTTAGAGATTTAGGTTTAGAGGTTTATGGAAAATCTGCAACAGCAAGCCATTGGTGGAAGTGCGTGTGGCTGCACGCCTTATTTATCCACGTTTAAAGTAATTTTAAAGAGTAAAATAAACAACTTGAACAGGTTTTTATAAAGTAAGCATTTTAAAAATTTGCGGCAAAATCAACATATAAGAAACTACAGAGAATAAAACAGCAATATTCGAATAAAGGAAACAAATATTATACAAAATAGAATACCTAAACAAAAAAACAAAAAAAATATATACCTAAACATTTTACTATTTTTTTTTTCTTTTTTTTTTAAGGAAATTAGTTATTTTCCACAGCAAAAATTAATACAAGTTGAGAAAGAAAGCAGGTAAGAATATAATGAAAACAAAAACTTTTTTTGATATACAATTTATTTCCAACTTTAATCAGTCAGTATATTAAGGAAATACTTTGTTATTTGCGATATTAATAAGGACAATTTTAAAATTTGTTTTTCAAATGTTTTTGCTTAACTTTACTGTTTTTATCAATGCCCAGGAAAGCAAGAAAACTAATTGCTATTTATTTTTATGAGCTTATTTAAAACATTTTTTTAAGTTTTTAAATACATTTTTTTAACAGAGCAATTATTATATTCATTATTTCTAGTAACTCGTCTTAACATTGAAAATAATTTAAATTTGATATTTCATAATAATTTTGTTTCCTTTTTTTAGTATTGTTTTTTTTTCTCAGTAGATAAAGTTAAGCTTTTTGCTGCGAATTTTATCACAAATTATTGAAACACTTAGTTAAAAATGTGAAATGCCATGGCAGGCCTTGTTTTAAATAAAAAATGCTTAATACGAAATATTTGCTTAACGAAATATTTGACATCATAAAATTCTTTTTATTTTTTTTATTTTTTAAAGACTACTTTTTTTTTTTTTTTTTTTTTTTTGGTTGTTATCCCCAAGACCAAGAAGTATACAGATGAGTAGGCTAATAATAATTTTTAAAATTATTATTTTTTAAATTTCTAATTGCGGCTTTCAAGTTGCAACTACAAAAAGTTTTTTATTTTAAAAAAATTAGCGAGTAACAAATAAAAAAATTACGTTAATTTATTTACTTAATTTATTAAGTTTATTATTTTATTATTGAAATTTTAACACAGTATTGTTTGTTAAAAAATAATTGCTGTGATTTAACTTGCGTTATAAAAAAAACAAATTATGTTTTGTGCAAATTTTTGACGCAGCTCTTTATTTGAAATTTAATTTTGATTTAAAAAAACAATATGTTTAGGAAGGAAAACTGGAGAAACAATTGCGACAAAAATGAGCTAATTTTTTTCAAGAACAAATAAAATTTCAATATTGAACAATTTTTAGTAATATTTTTAAATAAGTTTGACAGTTAAGTTAAACCCAAGCATTAACTTTAATTTTAATAAACTTTAATATATTTTTTTAATTCAAAATTAAATTATATATTTTTATCAGAATAAAATTATATATTTTTATATATATTTTTATTAAATTAGTTTTAAATTAAACCATATATTTTTTATCAAAATTAAATTATGTTTATATGATCTTTGCTCTAAGCTTAAAAAATCAATCATTACAATAAATTAAAAACAAAGTAAAATTAAACTTTTAATTTTATTTTTTTTATTAGTAAATATTTACTAATAAAAAAATTTATTACTCAAATTTATTATTTAAATATCGCTTATACCAAACATTGTCATTTAAAATGGACAAAGAAAAAAAAATTTAAACAGGCTTATCTATATAAAAAAGAAAGAAATTTTAACAAAACAGAAACTAAAAATTAAAATTAAAATATATAGCTGTAAAAAAATCAACTAAATATGAATCTGAAAAACTAAAACTCTAGAAAGAAAAGAAAGTTATTTTTAATGTTTTAAGGTTGAATAACTCATTGTGTTGTTTTGATGAGTTTCTGATTTTTTTATATTAGGAGAATAGCAAATAAATATTTTTTTCTTTTTTTTTTTATAATGTCTAAAGGGATTCCAAACTCTCAAGACATGTTGTGTTCATATTAAAGATAATGTTAAAAAAAAAAGGTTTGAACCAAGTTTTTTTGATTAAAAATAAATAATGAATGCATACCAAGAAAAACTAACGTTGTTGTTTTAGTCGAAGCTCGCCTTCTCCATTTTTTTCAATAACTTTATTAATATTATAATAATAAATTTATTTTATATATTTTTAGTTCTGCTCACTTTTAATGTTCTCGGCTTCTTAACATAACTCTTAGCTTCATTTATAGATACAATTAACCATTTATTTTGATGTCGAACATTTTGCGCTAATCACAACAAACTAAATATATTATGACTTAAATTATATGCATAGAAAATTATCCATGTCTTATTTTAAAATTGCGGAAAAATGTTGAGGCAACTAAGTTGTTTGTAATTCTTTTAATTTTGAATATATTTTGCCTTGAGTTTGTTTTACCTTTTTATCATATTTTGTGTAGGTCAGGTGAAATAAAAACAATTGCTTTTACTTGACAATTTTGAAGTAATTGTTACGCTTTACGTGAATACAAATTTTTAACTTAGCTGAATCAACTTAGGTGGACTTACTTAACTTACGTAAATAGAAACTTTTAACCTACCTATCCAACATTTTATGATTTTTTTTTTTTTAATTTAGTGTCTCTTTTCTTATATAATTCCCCCACTGCCCTTCCATCCCATAATCGCCATTTGCAGACCCCCTCTACCCTCAGAGTCTTTTATGGACAATCCCTAATGAACTAAAAAGGTTATAAAACAGATGTTAAAACCATATAAAACAGTTGTAAAAAATATATATATATATTTATATAAACTTGTGTTCACTTTTTGAAAAATTGGTAAAAAAGCAAGTCATACGTTTACATATCTTTAAAACAAATTTATTTACATGGTATATAGTTTAATATTTAACAAAAATATTTAAAAAAAACTCTATATAAAACACATTTTTCTTAAAAAACAATTAAGGTTGAAGGCACTTTTCAAAATCAGTTATAACAGCTGCTATCTACAGGACTGAGGAGCCAAGCATAGCCTATTGTACAGAAAACCATATTAAAATAATTAAAAATGTTTAATTATTTTAATATGGTTTTCTTATTAATTATTTTAATATGTTCTTATAGGGATGACGATTAAATATATAATATTTAAAAAATTATGTGATTCTATATTAGTAGGAAGTTATACTAAAGTAAACAATTAAAAAAAAAAAAAAAAAATAGAGAACAGATTTTTAAAAATTAAAAACTACTTGATTCTGTGAGCATTTTAGCAAGGGTGTTATATTTTGAAATCAATATCTTTAATGAGAAGCCAACTCGTTTAACTAATCTCATTCAAAAAATTAGTAATGACACTAAAGATAAAAAAAAATGAATATAAGATATAAATAACTGTACTACAGTAATATCAAATGTTATCTGGGCTTTTAGTGAATGATTAAAAGTAGTCAGTGAAACTACCTGTAATCATTTTTAACGATAGACACCAACGGGAAGGTAAGCCAAGCTGTCTATCAACACAAAACATTACAACAATATCACCACAATACTTTATTTTATATCAATAGTTTATACTTTAATAAATTTAACTGAAGGAGCAAAATTAGAATAAAGAAAATGTTCTCCATCATTTTTTCTTAATTCTTTTATTTATAGTCAAGTCTTTACTTCATTAAAGCAGATAATACTATTGTAAGTAAGAATTTAGAATTACCGTTTAGGGCTTTAGCTTGTATACCTAAACATAATAAACATATATCTACAGATTTGTCTTTCTTGCTAAAAGATAAATAAAAACACTTAGAAAAGACATAATAAAATTTCACCATTAGGAAACTTGTTTGTTGACAATTCATCTAGATAAAAAAAACTATTAACCGAACATTTGAATTTTTTTTCCCAACATATGTAACAAAGATATATATAAAAATGTTAAAAATATTGTTAAAATGAAAAAATATTATCCTTTAAAAATATGGAATCAGTATGTACAACTTACCAACTCGCCTTTGCAGAAGAACTTACAAAAAAAAACTTGAAAATTTCATATAATTCCTTAAATATATTTTGAATGAGATTTATAATATTAATCATAAGATAAACATTGGTAAATGTATAATTTTATATATTGGTAAGTACATTATTTTATTTATTGTTAAATATAATTACTTTACATGGTTATTGTGTATAGTGGTATAGTTATAAGGTCAAATGTACCTGGTAGTACCGCACTTAACTTGTTTCTTAGCACAGCGGCCTTGTTTTACAATGTTTGTGTTTCAAAATTTTAATTTTAAGTTGAGAAAGGGATCCAACCACAATTAAAGTAGCATCCTTAACTGTAACAGTCTACCAAGCTTTGGGGAGATAAAAACATATGATATATTTTTGCTTACCAATCTGTTGCCTTAGAGCTGAAATATATATAAAAAACTTTTTATTTAATTTGTTATTTGATAAAAGTAAAAAGTGAAATCTGAATACTAATAAAACTTACTTGATACTTCATTGATATCTAAAAATATTGACATGCTAATATAAAGATTTGAAAATGTTTGACCCAAGCAGAAAATAAAAAAAATAAAAAAAATTAGTTACCTGAAGAGACTAATGATGCCGATGCAACAGCTAAATAAAAAACATAATAAAAAAAAGCAATTTAATTCTGATTATAATGTTCAAAAAAACAATATTTATTACTTGTCTTTTTTCAAGTAACGAATCAAAAAAAAAAAAACGTATCAAGTTACCAGAAGTGGCGGATGAAGCAGTTAAAACAACTAAATGAAAAATATATAAATATTTAAAAATATATGTATCTTGTAAAATCCTGGAGATAATGTTTCAATAAAGAATGTTTATTGCTAGTTTTTCAAGAAAAAAATCAAAATAAATGTATTGTTACTTGGGACCGTCAATGCTGCAGATGACACAACTAAATGAAATGAATAAATCAATAAAGATAATTTATTTAAGCATGATGGTAATAAACATTTTTTATTGTTAAAAATTAAATTTATAAATTAACCTGGGGAGGTTGATGCTACAGAAGAAATAACTAAATAAAAAAAAATTAAATAAAAAAAGCTATTTTGGTAATGTTCAAATAAACAATAAATAGTAATCTTCAAATAAACAATAAATAATAAGTAATGTTCATGTAAACAATAAATATTCAAATAAATCTCTCTTCTTGTTTAATAAAATAAAAGACATCACCATTTGTAAAAGTTGCTGAAGCAATACCTAAATGAAAAAAATCTATATTTGCCTAATATAAAACATATTCAATGATATAATGCTAATTCGATGGAAAAAGCTGAAATAAAAAAGAAGCTTACTGCTCCCAAATCTACAAAAATAACAAACTTACTGAGATCTATCTGTCTGTCTAAAAAATAAAAATTAAGCAATAAAATCAAAACAAAAATAATCTTTAATAAAAACGTATTTGTTGATTTAATAGCGTAATTGTTAAACAATAAATTAAAACAATAGCTATTAGAGAAAATGGTATTCCTACTTGAAACTAATCTGATAATTTAGTTAATAAATAATAAAACATACTTATTTTGCTGTCAGCTTGTCTGTCTAAAAAATTTTATTCTCATTACCTTCTCCAAACAAAAAATAAAATATAAATAATAAAATGAATTAAACTTACTAAATAGGTCTTCGATTGCTTTGAATGGTTCTGAAAAATAAAACAATAGTTGTTGTAAAAACAATCACTGTTATAAAAATATAATGTACTAAAAAAACTACTTTACCAGTCATTTTTTATTTTTTAAAAACTTCGACTAAAAAAACAAATAAAAATAATCAAGAACAAACAAAACATTGATAAATAAATAAACAACATCAATTCTTCGCAAATAATAATAAAAATATATCAACTCTAATCGACAACTCAAATTTGCTTGCAGATCTTGCTCGAAAGACCGCGTGGAATATAAAACCGCGTATAGAATAGCCTAGAAACTACTTTAAAGTAGAAAAGCCTAGAAAATGACGTAACCCGACTAATAATAATACTATTAAATTAGCGTATTCATATTATCAGAAAAGTTATAGTATTTGACATCGCAATAGACTTTTAAACAAATGAAACTCTGGAATTATTTTTATTTATTTTTATTCAAACTTTTTTTGATTGTTTAGTTTGTTTTTTTTTCTAATTTTAACATTTAAAAAGATATTAAAAACCTCAAGTATTTTATGCTGGTTCGTTGCTATAAATTGTTATTGCGCCATATATTTAATGTTTATAAATTATGAATATTTATTATCTCAAAAATTGTTTTACATTAATTACCCATATAAAATTAGTAACAGCATTTTTATTTGGTTAGACAATATTTCGTCTCAATTTGCTTTGCATGAAGTTCGGGAAGTCAAACGAAAAAAATTAGTTTGAATAATCGCTTTGAAATATATTTAAAACAAATTATTTTAATGACGGGGGTTCGAAAGTTTTTTATAACAAATGTAGGTAAAAAATAAATAATTAAATAAAAAGTTCAACATTAAACATCATTTCTTTATTATATTGCTAATGTAAATATTGAAATATTAACTTGAACTAAATTTACTTATTATTTAGAACGACTAAGCAATAAAAATAAAAAAAACCTAAAATTCAACGATATTGTGTTGTTTGTTTGATAATTGTTGTTGATAATGTTGTTTATGTTGATTATTTTCATTTATATCAAAATAGTCTCAGATTAATCTGTTAGTTGTTTTGTTCATTGCTGATTTATTTCTAATTTAATTTTATCTCTAAGTATAAATTTATGTTAAGAAAGAAAAGTTTTTATTTCATCGCTCTCTCTTTTTATAAAAGAGTAAAACGAAAGAGAAAGAAAAATTTCGCATAATTAAACTTCTAATGAATAAGAGTTGTATAGAATTTTTTTTTTTGCGTCACTCGCTCTTTTTTTTGGTGAGAGAAATAAAAGTTTAATAGTAACTTTTCTTTAAGTAAATGAAAATTGGAAGAGAAAATTGCTTGAAAATTTGTATTTGTTAATTGTGTTTTAAAAAATTTTTTAATTTTTCATGTTAAGAGACAAATGCCAAATACAACACAAATTGGGAAATACCAAATTTAATATGTTTTTTAAAGCGCGTTGTGGCATTTTGACAATTTAAATTACTATTTATTTTGAACTATTGCCATTAATTAATGTGTTAATTATTGCGTTATATAATAATAATTTGTCCGTATTTTTGTTAAATATTAATTGTATAAAACGGGCGAAAATAAGCAAACTTCATGTTTTTTATTTGATGGTTATAAAATATTGAACAGTAAACTTATAGTCAAAATTTATAATGCCGACTTGTGTTGCTATTAATTGTACTTTTAATGCAAAAACAGGATCTCACATATCTTTTCATGAATTTTCATATCTGATACTATTGTCAACTGTATTGTTTAGTGTATTCTTGTACTTTTTTTATACCTCTTAACAGGTTCTAATTGGTATGGAGCTGCCGACATTTCAAAAGTTTTATTATCAAAAATCAAATGCAAAATAAAATGATATTTCCTTATTATCCATATCCAATTCAGCAAATTTAGCAATTTAAAATAAATCAGCGTAATCAAAAAATTTTTAATAAAAAAAGTTAACAGTTCATCAAATATTCTCTAATTAGTACTGTCAGTTTATGAAATTAATTGTTAATAAATACTTTTTTTCGACGGGAAAACAAAAAATATCATAGCATAAAAATAACCAGAGAAGTTAAAAAATAGTTTTATAAAAATAAGTATGATTCAGAATATATAATACTGCGCTCTTTTGCACAAAAACGAGAGACCGTGTACGTTCTATATAATGTAAAACACTCATATGAAAATTATAAGATTCGTAAGTAAAGATTTAATATTTGTTTTAATTTAAAAACAAAAGAATTACTTTGACGCTTTTAAAAGTATAATATAAATAAAAGTATTAAAAGTTTTTAAAAGTATAATATAAATAAAAGTATTAAAAGTTTTTAAAAGAATAATATAAATCTAAAATTATTAAAATTATAATATAAATCTAAAAATTATAAAAAAAACTTTTAAAAGTATAATATAAATCTAAAAATTATTAAAATATCGGTAAAAAAAAAGTTCCTCCTATGAAATAAAAAGCTTTTACTATTTTTGATTTTTACAAAAATTTGTTGTAAAAGATTTTTGCTGTGAGTTAAAAAATTACTGCATCGTACTTTTTGAATTAAAGTAGAAAAACAGAGCTTTGTTTAATTACGCTTTTCTTTTGTTAAAAATCTACCGTGATGTCAAATGCTAAAACTTTTACGAACTAAACGCGCTTCAAAGGAATCGCCAAAGTCTGTAGATTGAGTATTATTTAAAGACTCAGAGTTATTGAAAAAAATGGAGAAGGCGAGCTTCGACTAAAACAACAATATTAGTTTTTCTCGGCATGCATTCAGTATTTATTTTTAATCAAAAAAACATGGTTCAAACCATTTTTTTAAACATTATCTTTAATATGAACACAACATGTGTTGGGAGTTTGGGATCCCTCTAAATAAAAATGTATAATTATTTTTTATTTATTTATGTATTTTTATATATCAAAAAAAAAATACATAAACTGTAGTTTTACATCAAAATCGACTTTATAAGTTTAGCCTTAAACGCCTCATATTTTCTAATGCAATTCAATATAATTTATATACAATCATATTCTCTTGGTATTTATAACTATGACTTTATATTATATACAACTATTTACAATTAATGCAAATCAATCATTAACAATCATAAAATATAATTACAATTTAAACTTCCCCTTAATCACAATGACCATCTCGTCTCAAGGACCAAATTGTTCAGGGGCCCTCCTTTCTTGTGTGCTTCTATGCAACACTGACGTCTTGCTTGTTTTTTCTCCAGGCAGCACAATGTATAATTCATCTTCTGAATCCTCACTTAAATCATTATCACCTCTTCCTTGGCCAAGATCTTCATTCGAATTGTTGTCAACTCTTACTTGTCTTAATTGTTGTCTACTCTTACTTGTCTTAGGTCTTATACATATCGATTTTGTCCACTTCTACCGTTTGCTTCGAAATTATTCCTGTAGTTATTCCGATCCTATATTGAGAGTCGCATTGGCTATCCGGGGGTTAAACCCATACTTTATTGCCAAGTTTGAATTTATTGGTTATCTTCATAAGAGCATTCTTGTTGTTATCAATTCTTCTTACTCTAATTTTGTATTGATTATGCTTATTTGCAGGTGCAGTAGAAGACTTAAAACTATCTTTTGGACTAACGTTATACCAATAAACTGCCTCTAGTATGCTGCACGGAACTCTCTTCGCCGTTCTTTTGACAGTTCGGTGACATCGTTCTGCAATTCCATTTCTTGAAGGTACATAAGCGCACCTTAATCCAAGTTTAATGTTCCATTTATTCACAAACTGAGAAAACAATTTCATCCGGACCTCCTTGTTCGAGAAATATTGTTTAGTTCTTGAATAACACAAAACATTGCTGTCTCCTGTCTCTGACCAAACTTGCTTCGATTGCTATGTCTTCGTAGTAAATGGAGTTTACATTCATAACAAACTGGTTGTGTTTGATCCTCAAGCAACCTCAACTCAACATGTCTTTTTATTGCAGTAGCAGCAAAATTTCATTTGTTCGGTTCTTTAATCATGAGTCCTCTTGCTCGCGCAAGTATTTTTATAGTAGTAAGATC